CCCTCCCTCCCTTCCTTCCTTCCTTCCTCCCTCTCTCTCCCTTTCTTTCTCTCTCTCTTTCTCTTTTGCTCTCTTTCTTTTTCTCTCTCTCTTCCCTCCCTCCCTTCCTTCCTTCCTTCCTTCCTTCCTTCCTTCCTTCCTTCCTTCCTTCCTTCCTTCCTTCCTTCCTTCCTTCCTTCCTTCCTTCCTTCCTTCCTTCCTTCCTTCCTTCCTTCCTTCCTTCCTTCCTTCCTTCCTTCCCTCCCTCCCTCCCTCTCTCACCCAGGCTGGAGTGCAGTAGCATGCTGATAGCTCACTCTATCCTTGAACTCCTGGACTCCAGCAATCTTGTTACCTCAGCTTCCCAAGTAGTGAGGAATACAGGTGCATGCCACCATGCCTGGCTAGGAGTTTTTAATACATTCTGACTATAAGCCCTTTCTCAGATATGTATATATCTCAGATGAGTGAAAATATCTTCTCCTGCTCCATGGCTTGAATTTTAACTCTCTTAAGGATATCTTTTGATGAACAGAAGTTTCTAATTTCAGTGCAGTCCAATTTATTAATCATTGTCTTTATAGTTAAGGCTTTTGTTTCTTGATTAAGAAAAGTTTTTTCTATTTCAAAGTTTTAAAGACATTTTTATGTTATCCTATAGATATCATCATATCTATCATTTTGTCTTTCACATTTAGATCTACAGTCTATCAGGAATGAATTTTTGTGTATGTTGAGAAGCAAGGTCAAGGTTCATTTTTTTCTGTATGGACATTCAATTAGTTCATCATCATATAGTGAAAAGACCCTCCTTTACCCAACATTCTGCATGCCAGGTCCATCATAAATCGTGTGTCCTTATGAATATCAACTGTTTCTGGACTTTCTATTGTTTTCATTTTTCTGTTTTTTCTTCCTTGTGACAAAATCACATTGTTATTATTTTTGTAGCTTTATCATGTCATGATTTCTGGTAGTGTAACTCCTCCAACTTCATTCTTCTTCAAGATTGTCTTTATTAATTTTTGGTCTTTTGTGGTTCCAGATGAATTATTATTATTATTATTTTGAGATAGAGTCTTGCTCTGTTACCTGGGCTAGAGTGCCATGGCATCAGGCTAGCTCACAGCAACCTCAAACTTATGGGCTCAAGCAATCCTTCTGTTTCAGCCTCCGGAGTAGCTGGGACTACAGGCATATGCCACCATGCCTGGCTAATTTTTCCTATTTTTGATAGAGATGGGATCTCGCTCTTGCTCAGGCTGGTCTCAAACAATCTGAGCTCTCCTGAGCTCAAACAATCTGCCCGCCTCGGCCTCCCAGAGCGCTAGGATTACAGGCATGAGCCACCATGCCTGGTCTCCACATGAATTTTTAAATCGGCTTGTCAGATTCCACTAAAAAAAAATGCTAGGATTATGACAGAAATTATAGTGAATCTAGAAATTAATTTAAAGAAAATTGACATCTGTTTAGTATAGAGCCTTTAATTCATGGTGTATACCTTCATTTATTTAGATCAGTCATTTCCTTCAATATTATTTTGTAGTTTTTGCATAGTTGTCTTAACTACCTTTTGTTAGGTTAATTTCAATAGTTTATATGTAGATTCTTTGGGATCTTCTTCTTTTTTTTTTTTTTTTTTGAGACAAGACTCATGCTTTGTTACCCTGGCTAGAATGCAGAGGTGTCATCAAGCTCACTGCAACCTCAAACTGCCAGGCTCAAACTGCCTGCCTCAGCCTCCTGAGTAGCTGAGACTACAGGCGTGCATCACCATGCCTGCCCAATTTTTCTTTTGTTTTGTAGAGATAGGGTCTTGCTCTTGCTCAGGCTGGTCTCAAACTCCTGAGCTCAAGTGATCCTCCCACTTTGGCCTCCCAGAGTGCAGATCTTCTTTATATACAATCATGTCATCTGTGAATGATGATAACTTTATTTCCAATTCTTATGAACTTAGTTTCTTTTTCTTGCTTTATTACAATGGCTAAGACCGCCAGTACAATGTTGGGTAAAAGTGGGCATTCATATCTCATTCCCAATCTCAGGGGGAAAGATTTCAATATTTCACAATTAAGTATAAGATTTGTTAAACTGTATAAGGTTATTTTATATATGCATTTATATACATATATTAATATATAATAACTTATACAAATGCTAGAAATAAAGAGGGACATTTTTATAACCATTTCAACACTATAAAAGTTTCAATTTATCAAGAAAATATATAACAATTCTAATTTTGTGTTCACTAAATATATGTATATTTAAGATTTGTTTTAGCTAGAATTTTTATTGTTTTCAGTGGGAGAATTAGCCACATAACTCAGCCCATCCCTTTCTCTCTTTGTATATTCTTTTTTTTTTTTTTCAAGTGAAAGGGAGTTTATTGAAAGTATTAATATGCGGTAGTGGTCTTGGGGGGGCAGTGTTGGTGTGTCTCAAGGAATCAACAAGAGAAGAGTGGACAAGGCTTGGGAATGGGAAGAAATTAAGTGAAACAGGGAGAGAGGGAAGCAGTGACTTTGTAATTTCAGGAAGAGTCCAATGAACACACTACTTTTGGTGCTGATGAATCTTCAATCTTTCCTTTTCTCATAACCTCACTTGCTGGTCTGTAGACCTGGGATTGAACATATGATTTCACCAACAGGAAGCAGGTGACCACAGTATTACAGTCCCACTTAGGGGTGGTTCTTTTTTTTTTTTTTATTTCGGCATATTATGGGGGTACAGATTTTAAGGTTTCAATAAATGCCCATTTCCCCCCCTCCCCCCACAAGTCTGAGTCTCCATCATGACCATCCCCTAGATGGTGTCTCTTTGTATATTCTTGATTTGCATCCTTTGCTGTTAAACATGTTGCAAATATTTTTCCGAGCTCATGTGTCTTTCAACCTTCTTTAATTTTTTTTTGTGTGTGTGTTTATAGGAGTTTTCAGCTGTTATGTGGTCAACACTTTAGTCTGTACCTTTGTGGCTTCTGGACCCTATGCTTAGGAAACTTTTCCCACCCCAAGATTGTAACATACTCTGCTAGTTTTCTTCTGATGGTTGCATAGTTTCATTTTTATATCATATTTAGCTCTTTAATCTATCTGTACTTTTATTTTTGTGTATGGTGCATAGATATAACTTTGTTTTGCACTGAATGATTTGCTAACTACCCCCACATCATTTATTGAATGGCCTATCCTTTCTTCTGATTTGAAATGTCACTGTTATCAGAAATTATTTTGTTTTTCAGATCTATTTGTTTATTCTGCTCCTGTGGAGTTTTTAACAGGGCAACTGGTGTGATTTCTCCTCAGCCTCTACTCCCTGGCACCTCTCCCTTTACCAGAGTTCCCGTCCATCTTGGTTGGCCAGCAACTCTCCCACAGGAGAGAGTTAATGGTGCCTGGGACACAGGACTCTTGTGAGGACCAGAGAGTAGATAGTTCCAGAAATACTAGCTTTCCACCCCTTTTGCTAGTCCTCTCTTCACATGCTGACAGGCCCTGTGAGCACAGGAAGCCACAGCAGCTCTTCAGCCAAATAAGGGCTGGACCCAGAGGGGAGCAGAAAGTCTCAAAGGGGATCTCAAATGTGCCTTGATATTTTCCACCCACTGTCCCAGCCTGGGGGTGGCAGTCTGTAGAGCTTGTCCCTCTCTCCCAGAATGCACCCCTGGGTCCTTCAGCAGGTGCTCCAGGTTTTGCCTACTTGGTAGGATGTTCCCAGAATGAAAGAAGCTACGCGTCCTACTCTTGGCTGAGTCCCGGGCTCTGTGCCCTCCTGGTTTGAGGAGAAATGACTCCCGCTCTCAGAGGCACTTGTAAGCAGTGGGCACACAGTGGCCTGGCCACTTCCTTGAAAAGAGGGTGGGGAAATAGAACAAAACAAAACAAATATCTCAAAAACATCACTCTCCCACACATGTATTATTTCTGTCATTTACAAAAATGATCTTAAGCCCAGAGGCAGCCAAAGACATGTGACATAAAACACCATTTCTGCTCAACAAATATTTATTAAGCACAGAGCAAGACAAGACATCTTTCTCTCTTCTAAAGTTTGTGCTTCTGGAGAGTTCTCCACAGAGACTCAGGTGGGCTGTTTTGAGGCCCAGAGGCCTGTGCTCCAGGCATGAGATGGAGGGGAGAGGATGAGCCCGGCCCCAAGAGCTCCCGGCCCAGGTGGCCTCGACTGGTGGCAACAGCCTCAATAACCACTGGAGCTGGAGGCTAAACACAACACCATTTTCCAGGCGAGGTTAATCCATGACCAAGGTCTTTATGAGAACATCCTCCCTGGACCCTTCCCTGACCAGAAAGAGGTGTGGATGGCAGATCTTCAGGGGCGCCCTGGAGGGACGGCTGCTGGCCTGCCTGCCACGGCCCTGGCTCTCGGTCTGAGCCTTTGCCTCTCCCTGGCCTTCTGTGGTGTCACAGCCCAGGGTGGGGTCACTCTCTCTGTTCTCAGGGACACTGGTCAGTGTTCAAGACTTACTGACATGAAATTGAGGCTTTTTAACAGAATTGAAAGAGGGAAACATTGGGAGAGAAGTGAGCACCTATGAAAGAGTCTGAGTCTGGGACAAACATGGAGTGTGTCTATTCCTGGCAACTCCAAGACCCAGGCCCAGAAGGAGGAGTCAATCTCATACCGACCGAGGCCCGAGTGACTCGGAAACCAGGGGCCCGATAAGGGAGCACAGGAGCCAACAGTGATACTGCCTGGAAGCCTCGTGGTCAGAGGGCATGCCATCCTCAAGTGACAGGCAGTCTCAGCTTCCCTAGGCCTAGGGGGAGGGGTGTCAAGGGACAACTACAGGGGAGACCCTCATGCTACTTCAGTTCAGGGCCATGGAGTTGATAGAACCAGCATCCTTGACAGGACCTTCAAAGCCATCGTTGTCATAGATGTTGGTGGCCGGAGAGGGGTGCTTCGGGCAGACCACCCTGGTGGCTGCTGCCTTCTCAGCCAGCTCCTGCTCCAGCACCAGAGCTGGGTTGACATCAGGCCCTGCAGAGAGACAGAGACAAAGGACCAGAGTCAGGCAGAGAGCACAGGTGGGTGGTGCAGCCAGGAGAGACAATCTGGAGAGTGGAAGCTGACCCAACCTCTGTCTGCATCTGGGCTTGCTCCACCCTGCCCTGAAAAGCCAGCAGCCATTTCCAGCTGGCATTGTGCCTGGCCTCGTCCCTCTGCCTCTGCGGGCATACTCATGGGAAGCCCCGAGACCTGCCATGGGTATTCACAGGCCCTTTCTTCCTGGGACATCCTGTGCTGACACCGCAGCCTACAATCCTTCTGAGAGAAGCTCTTCCTCATTCTGCACAAAAAACACCATGAGGGATCCCCAGGGGGTTCTGTGCCATATGCCTACCTAGGTCACCACCTATGCAGCCCAAGCTTCAGGGGGTGCCTGGCCTGCCCCGTCCCCAGGCACTCTGCAAACCTCCAAGGAGCTGCCACCACCTGCAGCTCCAAGCCTTGGGCTCCCCTGGTCCAGGCGAACCCTGGCTGCTCCTCCTCGCCCCTCTCGTGTCTCACCACCCTCCCAACACACACAGCCTCTTCTCCCAAAGAGGGCCAGGCAGCTCCCACAAGAGGCTGTGGAGTCAGTTAGGGAACCGGGAGCTATGTGAGCTCCCACACCTGCTCCATTTGACCAAGTCTGTGACCTGGAGCAGCTGTCTGTTTCCTCACCTGTAAAATGGGAATGATAGATAATACCTACCTCTGGGGATGACAAGAGACTCAACAACAAGTATGTTGATATACAAACACACTTTTCTATTTATAAATGTCTTCTAGTAAAATTATCTTATTTTTACCATCTGGTGGGGGGTAAAATTGAACTCCCACCTTGCCCACACTAAGAGCCAGAAACACCCTCATCCAGGCAGGCTCAGATTAAATCTCTGCAGGGAGCAATTTTAAATGATCATGTTCAACAATGAGGGTACAGGGAAATGGACACTTGCACGTGACATTGGTACAAGTTTAAATAGTTACACTTTCTGAAGGGTATTAACAATTGGCATTAGCAGTTGATGTTTTCACAGGCTGTCTCTAAGGAAGTGTCGGAGGATGAGGTCAAAGCTTCAGCCGCAAAGTCATTCACTGCAGCACTGACAGTGAGAGTGGAAAGTCAGAAATCATCTAACGTCCGACAAGTTAAGAGCTGGTTAAGTAAATCATGGTAGAACCATATATAGGATGGTGTTTTCTAACTAAGAGTTGCCACCCATTAGTGAGTCATGAAATTGATTAGTAGATTAATGCTGGCATTTTAAATATTAATAATAGAATAGAACCAAAAATATCAGAATGCTTCACATGTAGTAAGGGCAGGTATTATTTTGTGAAATGTATGTTTTAGTGACACATGTCTGTGTATCCCTGTGCACATCACCTCTCAACGTAAAATAGAGTTTTTTGTTTTTGTTTTTGTTATTTTTTTGAGACAGAGTCTCGCTCTGTTGCCCGGGCTAGAGTGCCATGGCATCAGCCTAGCTCACAGCAACCTCAAACTCCTGGGCTCAGGCGATCCTTCTGCCTCAGCCTCCCGAGTAGCTGAGACTACAAGCATTCATAACCATGCCCGGCTCATTTTTTCTATATATTTTTAGTTGGCCAATTAATTTCTTTCTATTTTTAGTAGAGACAGGGTCTCACTCTTGCTCAGGCTGGTTTCAAACTCCTAATCTTGAGTGATCCTCCTGCCTCAGCCTCCCAGAGTGCTAGGATTACAGGGGTGAGCCGCCACTCCTGGCCTAAAATAGAGTTCTTGTTGAAGGTCATGCCTAAAAGTCCAGCAGCAGTGGAGATGCATAGGGTGACTGAAACTGTGTTTGAGACACACATCTGCTGACAAAGAAAGATGTTCACAACATGTTAAGTGAAAAACAGCAGCTTCCAAAATGGGAAGAGCCATGTGGTCATGGTCCTGGCCGTGTGAGTGCTTCTGATGTTTGCCCGTGGCCTGTGAGTACTCCGTGAGTTTGTGTGGTAAGCATGCCCTGTTGTGATCATCATCACAGTGATGGCAGCCTGGCAGGAGTAGGCCTGGCACTCACCCAGGTAGCTGAGGATGACTGGCAGGAAGACCAGGCCGTGCAGCAGGCCCAGCAGGGTGATCATAAGGTTGAGGCGGAAGAAGAAGACCTGGATGAGCTGGGCCTTGGCGAGGCCCAGGACAAGGATGCCAGGCAGGTTGGTCATGGCCACCCCTGCAAACACCTGGGGATGACAGCCAGGCATCAGGTGGGGCACAGGGCATCAGGTGGGGCACAGGGCATCAGTTGGGGCACAGGGCATCAGGTGGGGCACAGGGCATCAGGTGGGGCACAGGGCATCAGGTGGGGCACAGGGCGTCAGGTGGGGCACAGGGCGTCAGGTGGGGCACAGGGCATCAGGCAGAACACAGGGCATCAGTTGGGGCACAGGGCATCAGGCGGGTCACAGGGTGTCAGGTGGGTCACAGGGTGTCAGGTGGGTCACAGGGCGTCAGGCAGGACATAGGGCATCAGGGCATAGAACATCAGGCAAGGCATAGGGTGTCGGGCGGGTCACAGGGCCTCAGGCAGGTCACAGGGCGTCGGGCGGGTCGCAGGGCGTCGGGCGGGTCACAGGGCCTCAGGCAGGTCACAGGGCGTCAGGAGGGGCACAGGGCATCAAGTAGGGCACAGGGTGGCCCACCCCACCCCACTCACCGCACTGCCCATAGAGATGGTGGCTTCTTTGGCCCTCTCCACGTGGGTGGGCTTGGTGCTGATGGCAAAGGAGCGGGTGATGTGGGACACAAACTCCACAGACATGCCCACCGCCTGCGGGCAGAGAGGGGGCTTTAGCTGAGAAAGGCAGAGGTCTCCACTGGTACCAGTGGGGCAGGAGTCTAGATTTGAGGTAACATTGGGCTAGATCCCCGACCACCCCTCCAGGGCCACCTGGTGCCTGTGTCTGGGGGTTACCGTGACCAGGTTAATGAGGGACACAGCGTTGTAGCTGATGCCCCACATGGCCATTAAGCCAACAGTGTCCACGAGGATCATGATGATGGAGAACAGGTTGAGGATGCCGGAGCGCAGGTCCATGCCCAGCAGGACGCAGCAGACGACAAAGGTGGGCACGAGGCAGATGCTGAGCATGAAGAGCCCTTCCGGGAGGATGGTCAGGTACTGCTCGTAAAACACGTTGCTGATCCTGCCGGAGCACAGAGCACGGTCACCGGCACGGGCCTCACAGGCTCTTAAGGGGGAAGGACACCCCCACTTGAGAAGGAGGATGCTAAGGCTCAGATAAGCATATATTAGGGGCCAACCAGTGTGCGAAATGGACAGGCCCAGGGCCTGGTGGCTGGAGCCTCCGGATCTGAAGCTGGTCCTCATCTCAGGCAACCTCTTATAAGCCCACCACCCTCACCTCCTGTCCCAACAGTCACCCCCACCTCCCTCCAGCCTGGCCACTCAGGTCCTCACGTGTAGGGGAGGACCTCAAAGGCTGGGTCTGTCCCAGGGACCTTCCGCATGTCAGCAGTGATGTTGGCTGCCAGCTCCCGAGCTGCCCGCAGAGCTTCTGTGTAATCCTGCGAGTTATGCAGGGGCTTGTGGTAGGCCATGAACCGGGAGGCTGGGCGGCCACAGCACATGGGAGAGGGAAGGGCAAAGGTCAGAGTTCATTCCAGGACACCCTCAGCACATCCTGGACAGTGCCACCACCATTTGGAATTCTTAGTAAATTTTGTGCAACAAGCCCAAATTTTTATTTTGTACCATCCCCACAAACTCCATAGCTGGTCCTACTGCTGTGGGAGACCAGAGTCTGGGCGCAAGCCTTTTTTTTTTTTTCTCCTTTTTTTTTTCCCCCACTTTACAGATGACAGGCCTGAGCCTTGATGGTCAGAGTCTAAAGAGATCTCCCTGACGAGCCCAAATTCTTCTCTGTATGGTTTCAAGATATGCATTAGATTATAAAGATTAATTAGCTTTCAAATTTGCATCTTCCTATAGGAAAAGACTAGAAAGGAAGACAGAAAAATGACCACAGTTGAATCACAAACAGTTGAATTGTTGCAGCCAAGGCTTAGGGCTCCTGCCAGGTAAATACAATAAAGTTATTTTCTGATTGTGTACAGAGACTATGTGAATCAGGAAAAAATGAAATGTTCTTGGACATATGCAATATCAGAGCAGGAGAGGTCCTGGAGAAACTCCCGCCAGGCCTCCGACTATCTGGAGGTTGGTTCACACACAGATGGTCACCCCAGCCCAGAGATTCAGGTATAGAAGGTCTCGGGGTGGGGCCTGGGAACTTGCATTTGTAACAGTTTCCAGATGATACTTTTTTTGTTTTTTTCAGACACAGTCTCACTCTGTTGCCTGGGCTAGAGTGCCGTGGCATCAGCCTAGCTCACAGCAACCTCAAACTCCTGGGCTCGGGGGATCCTTCTGCCTCAGCCTCCTGAGTAACTGGGACTACAAGCATGCATCACCATGCCAGGCTGATTTTTCTATTTTTAGTTGTTTGGCTAATTTCTTTCTATTTTTAGTAGAGATGTGGTCTCACTCTTGCTCAGGCTAGTCTCAAACTCCTGATCTTGAGCGATCCTCCTGCCTCGGCCTCCCAGAGTGCTAGGATTACAGGCGTGAGCCACCGTGCCCGGCAGATGCTGCTGGCCAGGGGAGCCCACTTTGAGAAGCACTGCTCTAGACTAACCTAGAGCGCCCACAAGGAGACTAACGTCAGAGGTCGGCCCAGATCTGCCCCAGGTCACAGAGATGGGCTCCCCCATCTGCTCCCTCCCGGACCTGCTCCTCTGTCCCTGACTGAGACCCCCACTCCCCTCTGCCCACACCGGCCCCACCACACAGGCCCCACAGAGCCTGCAGTGCCCAGGGACCGGGGCTGGGGCGTGGCAGGTTCCCCTTCCAGGAAGCTGGGACCTTCATGGAAGACTTAGCCAGGAGGGTGGAGCCTGTGAACTTCGGTTGGTTTGTGGCCAGTACTTCAAACCATGAATGGCTTCGGTGCAAAGCAGGAGGATCCACCAAAAACTCCCCACCCACCGCCGACCACAGCCCATGCCCGGCAGCAGCTCCCTCAGGGCCCCCAGGCCGAGCGTGTGCTCCGAGTGGTGGCCAGCCCCTCCACCCAGGCCGTCGCGTCCTGCCCGCTGCTGTATTAAGCTGACAGCACGTCCTGGCTCCTCTGCCAGTCCAACTGCATCTCCCTTGTCATTTGCAATGGTTGCTGGGATTGTGCAAGGCATCCTGATTCCTTTAGCCAACTCCCCACTGCTGACATTTGGGTGTGATTTGTGCAGGAAAGAAAAGGTGCTTAACTGGGGTGTAGGCGCCCCCAGTATGGTACCCGCTGCAGAAAGAATTCCACAAATTTCATGCTGACTTGGACTTGAGGGTGGAAGAAGGGGTGAGGTCTGAGAACGTGGTGCTGGGAAACAGGACCCCTGCTGCCAGGGCCAGCGCAGCTAGAAGCCCCCACAAAGGAGGAAGGGGGGAATATGGGAGATGGGGAGAGGCTATTCCTGGGGCTCTCAGGGCCCTCAGACAGCCCACTTTTGTCCTCCCCTGCAGGCAAGGCTGTACTTACCCAACACCTGGCCATCTGAGCTCAGATTCACAGAGGTGCTGTATGCTGCCAGGCCACTGCCAGGAGAAGCCAGGGCAAAGGCTCAGCCGGGGACATGGCTGCTCCCAGCTGCCTGGCCCACTGCTGCCCCGCAGACCCCTCATGGCCACCTTCTGTCCCCTGCGTTCATGCCCCCCACCCCGTGGCCCATGTGTCTGCCCTCCACAAAAGAAGGCCCTTCCCAAGCCTACCTACCCTTTGGGACATTTGATGTTGGGCGGGTCACTCAGGAACCAGGGGAGATACTTGTGGAACTGCTCCACCGAGGGCCGCACGGCGCCCATCGTGAAGTCCATGCAGTTCTGCAAGCAGGACAAGGAGTCTGCAGGGAGAGGGGGCTCTGGGCAGCGGCACCCCAGGGCCAGCTGCTCCTGCTCTGCCCCCCTCTTCCTCCTCCACTCCCATGAAAGGTCCGCCAGACACTCCGTCCTCAAGGAGTCATTTCTAGGGGAATCTGTATCTGTCCTCTCTGACTGTGGGAGAAGTTCCCCTCTTGGTTACAGAAACTGCTGGCACCCATGAACAGGTGAGGAAGGGAAGCTTGGGGCAGGGAAACGGGCCCCACAGGGGTGTCTCACTCCACCTACAAATGCAGCTGCTCCGAGGCCAGGGCCACGTGCCAACCTCAGCTCTCCACTCTGACTCCCACCGCCCACCACCGCGCTCTGCAAGCAGGGCCCCGCTCGAGACAGGGCGCAAGTGTGTAAGGCCCATGGTCCAGCACGGCCACCCACATGGGTGCTCCGCACAGAGGGCCTGTCCCTGGGGCCAAGCCTGTGCCCTGCCCCCAACAGATCCTGCAGGAGGGGTGGGAGGAGTTGAGAGAGCCTCTCTAGTCCTTTCCTTTCTCTCACCTCAGTTTCCCCAAGCTGCAGTGGGCAATGAGCCCCCCAGGCCCCACACTTACTGACGGTAGAGGGGCAAAACTCGCCCTTATTGGGGCCGAAGATATAAAGGCGGCAGCAGGAGGACGGGGTCAGCCAGTCAATGAAATCGTCCACCCAGGAGGAGGCAGCGATGGCCAGGTAAGACCTGTGGGCCGGAGGGAGGGAGGGACGGGAGAGGACCAGCTGTGTGAGGTAGTGGGCTTTTTCTGTGGCCCAACCCCCACACTGGGCCTCTCCAGGCACATGGCTATAGGGCAGCAGGACAGGGGCAGGGGCAGAACAGGCAGGAAGAGGGGACTGGGGTGAGGGAGACAGGCAAGGAGCAGTCCAGGGCCAGGGGTGCCCGACACTCACTGCTCAGGGAACTCAGAGGCGTATTGGATCTTCTGGGTGAAGGAGTTGTTGGCACAGCCTGCGCTGGAGCAGACGGCATTCATGCCCTCCTCACTGGAGAAGTTGTAGCCCGAGGTGGTGACAAAGTACACTGGGGCCCCGACCTCAAAGTAGCGGTTCAGAAAGAGGAAGTAGTCAAGCAGGTACGAGTCCTAGAGCAAAGCAGGGTCAGTGAGCCTCAGGAGGCCATACACACCCCTAAAGGGCCCACTTCAGCTCACACTCTTGAAGGTTCACACAGAGGCACACACTGAGGTACACACTCAGAGGTACATGCACAGTTACACACTCAGAGGTACATGCTTGGTGGTACACACACAAAGGCATACACAGAGGTACTTGCACAAAAGTACACAAACAAGGTATGCACAAAGAGGTACATGCTCAGAGGTCACATACAAGGTACACACAAAGAAGAACATACACAGATGCACACACTCAGGTGTACCTTCACAGATGTATCTGCACAGTGCAGTTACAGAGGAACATGGTTTTAGGTGTACCCAAAAACATACATGCTGCAAGGTTCACAAATTTAGATATAATCACAGGTACATGCACAGAAGTACACTCATGGAGGTACAAACACAAAGCAACATGTATCACCCTACATGAATATATGCTGACAAACACACAAACATACACACACACATGCACACAATTTTACTCATTCCTATCATCCCCAATTTGGCAGAGCCACAGGCTAACAAGGTGGCCTGGGACCACAGTCTATATTTGCATGCCCACATAAATCTCCGTGTGCACACCCTTGGTCATGCACCAGGTATCTTCATGGTCTGTTCCCTTATCCTATAACATAAAACCTCCGAGTAACATCAGTGAAGATGACAGAGTAGGAGGCACCTGGAATCTGTCTCCCCACCTAGACAATAAATGCACTGGCAGAATTTGTCTGATGTAACTGTTTTGGAACTCTGGAGACTATGGCAGGCTGGAAGCTTCCAGGGTAAGGCTTGGATGGTAGATTGTGGTTAATTTCTGTCAATTTCAGCTCTTATCACAGTAGCAGCTACCCACTCCCCATGCCAAGCCTCAGTGCAGGCAGCCATGCATGCATTCTCTGCGAGCTTGCACACAGCTTGCAGGAGCGGTAGTAGGCAATAAGGACATTGTTCTCCAAATATCAAGGATCTGAGTTTTAATCACTGATCACTACTTCCAACCTTGGTAGTACAGACACAGACAGGCAGCCTTTATTGCAACTCCCACCACCATTGTTGCTACCCTCTCCACTTCTGTTTAAAGTGAATTCCAGGAGATATAAAGGGGAAGCACCTGTTTGTTTTTACCCCTTCATTTTTCCCATCTTCTCATTTTGGTAGCCATACATTCAAGGACCAGGGCATTCAATGGCAACCACAAATGCAGAAAACTTTAGACAGTCACTACATAGCCCAAATGCCCAAAGGAAGACGCAGGCTCAGAAAATATCTGTGAAGACATTAACTTTATATCTCAGGCTGATCCTCAGCACAGAGACACCAACAGCAATAAGTAAAATAAAATTAAAAACTAAAGCAAACCCTGAAGAAGGGGTAGAATCTGATTTCCAGAATTACTATGTTATAAACCTCAAATGTCCATTTTTCAACCAAAAAAAAATCACAAAAGATACAAAGAAAAATACTGGTCATTCAAAGGGAAAAATTAACCAACAGAAACCATGCCTAGGAAAGACCAGATAGCAGACTTACTAGGCAAAGACTTTAAAATAACTGTCTTCACCTATAATCCTATCACTCTGGGAGGCCAAGGTGGGAGGATCACTCAAGGTCAGGAGTTCGAAACCAGCCTGAGCAAAGATCGAGACCCCGTTTCTACTTAAAAATAGAAAGAAATTAATTGGCCAACTAAAAATATATATAGAAAAAATTAGCCAGGCATGGTGGCACATGCCTGTAGTCCCAGCTTCTCAGGAGGTTGAGATAGGAGGATCGCCTGAGCCCAGGAGTTTGAGGTTGCTGTGAGCTAGGCTGACGCCATGGCACTCTAGCACGGGGAACAGAGTGAGACTCTGTCTCAAAAATAAATAAATACCGAGTATTTTGGAGGGGAAGGGCATAACTCTAACCCTTCTTAGGGAGAGGCAAAGATATACAATGTAACCAAAATGTCAAAAAAAAAATCAAAACAAAACTTTTTATCGGGTGGTGGGCAGGCAGTAGGGGGGAGGAGGAAAGGGGTGTATGCTTCCATAACGTGTGTGGTGCACACCACCGGGAGATTGGACACATGGGGGGAGGGAGGGGGGCAGGGGCAATATTTGTAACCCTAACAATATTTGTACCTCCATAATATGATGAAATAAATAAATAAAAATATAATAAAATAACTTAAATTTTCTCAAAGAGCTTTAAAAAATTATATTTGCACACACAAAGTCGAGAAAACAATTTATGAACAAAATGGAAATATCAATAAAGAGAAAACATAAAAAGGAGGCCAAAAGAGATTCTGGAGCTAAAGAGTACAATAACTTAAAAATTCACTAGAGGGATTCAAATGCAAATTTCAGGAGTCAGAAGAAAGAATTAGCAAATTGAAGAAAGGACAATTGAAATTGTTGAGTCTGTGGAACAGAATTAAAAAAGAATGAAGAAAAGTGAACAGAGCAGAGCCTAAGGGACCTGTGAGACATTATTAAGTAGACCAAAATATGCATGTAAGAATTCCAGAAGAGAGTAAAAAGGAGTATTTAAAAAAATAATGGCTAAACACTCCCCAAATTTGATTAAAGACATAAATATAAACATCCAAGAAACTCAACAAACTGCAATAGGATAAAGTCAAAGAGGCCCACACCAAAGGCTATTAGAATCCAATCCAACTGTCAAAAGCCAAAGAAAAGCCAGGCATGGTGCCACATGCCTGTAGTCCCAGCTACCTGGAAGGCTGAGGCAGGAGGATTGCTCCAACCCAAGAGTTCAAGTCCAGCCTGGGCAACATAGCAAGACCTCGTCTTTAAAAATAAATAATAAATAATAAAATTAATTTCTTAAATCCAAAGACAGAATCTTGAAAACAACAAGAGAGAAGTTACTCATCACATACAAGTAATCTTCAATAAGATTATCGGTATATTTCTCATTAGAAACCTTGGAAGACAGAAATTATTAGATATGTATATTCAAACTGCCAAAGAAAGAAAAAATACCTGTCAACTAAATATCCTATTTCCAGCAAAACTGTTCTTCAAAAATGAGGGAGAAATTAAGATATTCCCAGATAAATAAAAGCTGAAAGAGTTAGTTACTACTAGACCTGCCCTGCAAGAAATACTAAAGGGAATCCTGCAGGTTGAAATGAAAAGACACTAGACAGTAACTCAAAGACTTATAAAGAAATAAAGATCCTTAGCAAAGGTAAATAAATGGACAATATAAAAGTTAGTATTATTATAACTATGGTTTGTAACTGCACTTTTTGTTTCTTTTTTCTTTCCTTTTCTTTTTTTTTTTTTTTGAGGCAGAGTCTCACTCTGTTGCCCAGGCTAGAGTGCCGTGTTGTCAGCCTAGCTCATGGCAACCTCAAACTCTTGGGCTTAAACCTTCCTCCTGCCTCAGCCTTCTGAGTAGCTGGGAGTACAGGCATGCGCCACCATGCCCGGCTAATTTTTTCTATATATTTTTAGTTGGCCAATTACTTTCTTTCTATTTTTAGTAGAGACGGGGTCTCAGTCTTGCTCAGGCTGGTTTCAAACTCCTGACCTTCAGCGATCCTCCCGTCTCGGCCTCCCAGAGTGCTAGGATTATAGGCGTGAGCCACCGCGCCCAGCCCAATTCTGTTTTCTACATAATTGAAGAGACTAATGCATAAAACAATCATTACTCTATGTTTTTGGATATAATGCATAACAATATAATTTTGTGACATCAGCAACCAAAAGGGATAGAATGGATCTGAATAGGATCAGAGTTTTTGTATGATACTAAAGCTAAATTGATATAAATTCAAATTTACAGTGTTATAATTTCAGGATGTTTAATGTAATCCCCATGGTAATCTCAAAGAAAATTAGCTATAGAATATACACAAAAGGAAAGAGAAGGGAATTTAAAAGTTTCTACTACTAAAAATCAACTAAACACAAAAGAAGTCAGTAATGCAGGAAATGGGAAACAAAAAAGTTACAAGGCATATAGAAAAAAATAGGAAAATGACACAAGTAAATCCCTCCTTACCAGTAATTATCCTAAATGTAAATGGGTTAAACTCTCCAATCAAAAGACAGAGGTTAGCAGAATGGATTTTTTTAAATGCTCTAACTATTTGCTATCAGCAACAGACTTACTTTAGGTCAAAAAACACAAAAATGTTGAAAGTAAAAGAATGGAAAAAAGATATTTCATGCAAATAATGAGCAAAAGAGAATAGGGGTCACTATACTAATATCAGACAAAATAAACTCTAAATCAAAAAGCTTACAAGAGACAAAGAAGTACATTATATATTAATAAAAGATTGAACACATCAAGAAGGCATAACAATTATAAACATTTATGAACCTAATAACAGACCATAAAAATATCCAAAGAAAATATTGATAAAATTTAAGGGAGAAATAGATAGCTCTACAATAATAGGTGGAGAGCTCAATAACCCACTCTCAATAATGAATAGGCCAATTAAACAGAAAACAAATAAGGAAATAGAGAACTTGAACAACACAATAAACTATATCTAACAGACAAATACAGAACAATTTAACCAACAATAGAATACATATTCTCTGAAGTGCACATGGGACATTCTCTAGTATAGACAACATGTTAGGCCATCATTTACATCTCAATTTTAAAAAAAGATATTATAGAAATTATCTTCTCTAACTACAGTAGGATGAAGTTAGAAATCAATAACAAAACGAAAACTGAAAAATCCACAAATCCTTGGAAATTACATGATATGCTCTTAAACAACCAGTGGGTCAAAGAAGAAATCACAAGGCAAATTAGAAATTAGAGATGAATGCAAAAAATAAAAAAACACAACATATCAAAACTTATGGGACACAGTAAAAGCACTAATAGGGGGAAATTTATAGTTGTAAATGCTATAAATTTAAAAAATAAAAAATATCTCAAATTAACATCCTCACTCTAACTTAATAAACTAGAAAAAAAGAGCTAACTAAACCCAAAGCTATCAAGAAGAAGGAAATAATAAAAATTAGAGCAGAGATAAATAAGATAAATAATAGGAAAATAATAGAGAGAATCAACAAACACAAGAGTTGTTTCTTCAAAAAGATTAACAAAATTGACATATCTTTAAGGGAAAAAATACTCAAATTACAAAGATCAGAATTGAAATTGGGGGCATCCATACTTATTCTACAGAAGTAAAAATTATTATAAAAAAGTACTATGAACAACTCTACACCTAAAAGTTAAATAATTTAGATGACATGGATAATTCCTAAAAATACAAACTTACCAAGACTGAATCATGAAGAAACAGAAAATCTGAATAAACCCATAACTAATCAGGAGATTAAATCAGGGATCAAAACCGTTCCCAATATAGAAAAACCCTGGCTTGTTGGCTTCTAGTGAATACTACCAAACATTTAAAGAAGAATTAATCCAAATCCTCCTCAAACTCTTCCAAAATAATTAAAGAGGAGGGAAGACTTTCTAACTCATTCTATGAGGCCAGCATTGCCCTAATACCACAGCCAGACAAAGATGCTACAAGAAAAGAAAACCACAGACCAATATCCTTTGTGAACACAAACATCCTCAATAAAATACCACCAAACTGAATTCAATAGCATATTAAAGTGATTATTGCATGTGGTACTGATGCTCCAAAAAAAAAAAAATAAAAAAAAAATAAAAAAAAATAAAGTGATTATACACCATGACCAAGTGGGCTTTATTCCTGGAATGCAAGGATAGTTCAACATATGAAAATAAATTAATGCACCACATTAATAGAAAGAAGAAAAATATCACATGTTCATCTAAATTGATGTAGAAAAAGTATTTAACAAAATCCTACATCCTTTCATAGTAAAAACATTCAGAAAACTAGGAATACAGGGATTGTCCTCAACATGATAAAGGCCGTATATGAAAACCCACAGCAAATGTCATACTCAATGGTGAAAGACTGAAAGCTTTTCCTGTAAGGTCAGTACTGAGGCAAGGATGCCCACTTTTACCACTTTCATTCAACATAATAATAGTATTAGAAGTTTCAGTCAGAGCAGTTAGGCAAGAAGAAGAAATTAAAGGTATCCAAATTGGAAAGGAAGAAGTAAAATTATCTCAATTCAGAGGTGACATGATCTTATGTGTAGAAAGTACTAAATATTCTACTAAAAAACTGTTAGACCTAATATTCAAATTCAGCAAGTTTCAGGATACAAAATCAACACATAAAAATCAGTTGCACTACTACATACTAACAATGAAACATCCAAAAAGAAAATTAAGAAAACAGTTCCATTTATGATGGCATCCCAAAGAATGAAATACTTAGCAATTAACTTCACCAAGGAAGTGAAAGACTTGTACAGTGAAAACTATAATATATTGTTGAAATAAATTAAAGAAGACATAAATAAATGAAAAGTCCTCCTGTGTTCACAGATTGGAAGACAATATTGTTAAGATAACAATACTACCAAGGCAATCTATAAATTCAATACAATCCCTACCATAATCCCAATGGCATTTTTTAAGAAATAGAAAAATTCATACTAAAAATTCATATTGAATCTCAAGGGAACCTAAATAACCAAACAATCTTAACAAAGAAGAGCAAAGTTTTAAGACTCATGCTTCCTGATTTCAAATTTTACCACAAAGCTACAGTAATCAGAGCAGTGTAATGCTGGCATAAGGACTAAACATGGACCAATGGAACAAAATAGCCCAGAAAAAAAACTCTCACATACATAGTCAAATGATTTTTGACAAGGCTGCCCAAAGCATTCAATGGGGAAAGGACAGACTTTTCAACCAGCGGTGCTGGGGAAACTGGATATCCACATGCAAAGGAATGAAGTTAGAGCCTCACCTAACACAATATATAAAAATTAACTCAAAATGCATCAAAGATCTAAATGTAAGACCTAAATCTATAAAACTCTTACAAGAAAAATAGGAAAAAGCTTCACAACATAAGATTTGGCAATGATTTCTTGGATACAACCCAAAGGGACAGGCAACAAAAGAAAAAACAAACAAATTAAACTTCATGAATATTAAAATATTTTTTTGAGACACACAGGTCTCACTCTGTTTTCCAGGGTAGAGTACAATATTAAAAATTTTTGTGCATCAAAGGACAGTATCAACTGAGTAAAAAGGCAACCCACAGAAAGAAGGCAAGTATTTGCAAATTACATATCTGACACAGTATTGCTATCCAGAACATAGAGAGAACTCTTAAAACTCAACAACAAAAAACCAGCCTGGGGGGCAGGTATATACATATATAATGAGTGAGATGTGCACCATCTGGGGGATGGTCATGCTGGAGACTCAGACTTGTGGGGGCGGGGGGGATATGGGCATTTATTAAAACCTTAAAATCTGTACCCCCATAATATGCCGAAAAAAAAAAACAACAACAAAAAAAACCAACCTGATTCAAAATGGGCAAAGGACTTAAATAGACATGTCCCCAAAGAAACAGCTAATAAGCACATGAAAAGATGCTCAACATCTCTAATCATCAGAGAAATGCAAGTTACAACTACAATGAGATACCACTTCACACTCACTAAGATAACTATTATTACAAAAAACAAACAAAAATGGAAAATAGCGAGTGTCGGTATTTAGTCCCCAGCCTCTTCTCAGCAGGCAGAGCAGTGTGGGGCTCACTCTGGCACACCACAGATGTGGCCAGGACACCCCAGTACACACCGTCTCAGGAGGCAGCGGCTTCCAGAGGAGTCTCAAGTTTTAGCAGAAATAGGGTTATTTGAGTGCCCAGTGAGAGGAGCTTCCCTGAAAGTTATGAAAGAAGATGTGACAGACACAAGAGGGAGAAACTGGAACCCTTGTATGCTGCTGGTGGGAATGTAAAATGGTACAGCTATTGTGGAAAACAGTATAAAGAGTCCTTAAACCTTAAAAATAGAATTACCATCTGATCCAGCAATTCCACTTCTGGGAGAATTGAAATGAGGGACTCAAACATTCATGTTCACAGCAGCACTATTCACAATAGCCAAAAGGTGGAAGCAACCCACATAACCAGTAACAGGTGAATGGATAAGCAAAATGTGGTATATATTCACAATGGAATGTTATTCAACCTTAAAAAGGAAGGAGATTCTGACACATGCTACAGCATCATGCTAAGTGAAATGAGAGTCACAAAAGAACAAATATTGTATGATTCCACTTATATGAGGTGCCTAGAATGGTCAAACTCATAGAGACAAAAAGTGGAATGGTGCTTGCCAGGGGCTAGAGGGAGGGGAGAATGGGGAGTCACTGTTCATTAGGTATAGTTTCAATTTTGCCAAAAAGGAAAGAGTTATGGAGATGGATGGTGATGACGGATAATATTAATGTACTTAATATCATACTGAGCTGTAAACTTAAAAATGGTTAAGATGCATCCTGAGCAACATAGTGAGACCTCATCTACACAAAAATTAGAAAAAATTAGCCAGGCATGATGGCAAATGCCTATAGTCTCAGCTACTTGGGAGGCTGAGGCATGAGGATCCCTTGAGCCCAGGAGTTCAAGGTTGCAGTGAGCTATGATGATGCCACTGCACTCCACTCTGGGCAACAGAGAAAGACAAGACAGGACAAGACAACACGATAAGGGAAGGGAAGGGAAGGGAAGGGGAGGGGAAGGGGAAGGGAAAGGAATAAAGAAAACCCTTTATTACCTAAAACTCTTTTTCAAAAAATAATTGGTGAAGATAGTAAATTTTACATTATATGTATTCTGCTATAATCAAAAATTGAAAGAAAATAATAAATTTTTAAAAAGCATTAAGAAACAAACATCTCCAATAGAAAAATAAACAACAGACAACAACATAAAACTGGTGGAGTCTTGCAGCCCATCACCTCCTTCCTTCTTTTTTTTTATTTTTTATTTTTTTGAGACAAGGTCTTCCTCTGTTTTCTGGGCTAGAGTGCCATGGCATCAGCCTAGCTCACAGCAACCTCAAACTCCTGGACTCAAGCAATCCTCCTGCCTCAGCCTCCCGAGTAGCTGGGGCTACAGGCACATGCCACCACACTCCACTAATTTTTTGCTAATTTTTCTATTTTTTGCAGAGACAGAGTCTTGCTATATTGGTCTCAGGCTGGTCTCCATCTCCTGGCCTCAAGTGATTCTCCCATCCTCCCACCTCAGCCTCCCCAAGTACTAGGATTACAGGCATGAACCACTGCACTCAGCCTCTCCTTGCCTCTTGCTCTCAGGGCCCTGGTGACTATCTATGACTCAGCCCTGTGATGCGACCCCCAGTGCTTCTACAGCTGGGACGGTCACTGTGTGACACTTGCTGGCTTCCTGCTCTCCTCTATATGGTCACTGGAAGGTGTGGTTCTAAGCCGTCTGCTCTCCTTCCTCATCTCATTTTCAGGAACCCGGGCCAGCACCACCTAAGATCTGCCCCAGCCCCTGCCATTGGCTGTGGCCTGGCTGCTCCCTCCAGTGCCCTGACCAGTGCCCAGCCCCTCACCCAAACCTCCACCACAGCTCCCCAGAGAGGTCCTAGGCAGTGAGCCCCGACACTGCCCTCCCTTCTCCTTGGAGCTGGTCACACAGCGTTTTTGAGACTTTGCTCTCTGTGGCTTTGTTCCCTCTCAGCCACCAGCCCACACCACCTCTGGTGCACATCCGGACCAGCAGCAGGTCCAACCTCAGCTGATGCATCGTGTCACACACTTTCTGGCCAAGGTCTGGCAGTCAGGACTCTCTGCCACCATGCTCCCTGCCTCCAGCTTGTCCCCTACTCCTGCCCCACTCCCATGGCTGCTCCCACACCCAGGAAACACGCCTTGGCTCATCCCAGCTTCCCACAGGTGAGTCTGTCACCACCTTCTTCTGCAAATCCTATGCGACCTTAGAGGTCCCTTCTAAGGGGGACTTTCCTTCCTCTGAGCCCCTGCCCTCCCGGGGCCCCAGGCCTGGAGAGTTCATAGCGCTGAGCACAGGGCAGGCACTCAGCAGGGTGTTGGTCAGTCATCTCATGGGGACAGCCACCCAGTCGCCTGGGACATCACTCTTACTGTGGCCTGGGGCTGGTATTGGCTCTTTTCATACACAGATGTGGCTTCTCTCCCCAGGTCCACTGGGGGCTGCTTCCATGGTGACAAGCAATTCTGCACCGCCACCCGCACCCCTGACCCACGTGGCCACCAACTGCTGAGTGCTGTCACCCCTCCCGGAATCCCAGGGAACTAAGGTCTGGGCAGGCCGCAGGCTCACCGTGGGCAGGGCCAGCTCCTGGTCTAATCCCACGGTGGTTTGGCACATGAAGTAGAGGCACACTCCAAACAGGGCCAGAAATAGCAGCAGCTGAGGAGGGAACTGCGGCATGAGAACCTGCTGCCCACCGCACCCCCGTCTTCCCTCAGACTGGAGTCGGCCAGGCTGCCATGGGACACACACTGGAGCTGGGCAGATCTGGGTGCCAGCCCCTGGCCCCGGCAACCTCTCCACCCCCAACCCGTCACCCTGAGGTGAAGTCCCCCGTCCTCGTCCTCGTGTGGTTGGAGGCCACTCACCACGGCCGGGCGGGTGAGCCGGTGCAGCAGGAAGGGGGCGTAGACCTTGCGGAAGAAGCGCAGCAGGGGCCCCTCCCTCTGGCCAGGCGGGGGCAGCTCCCTGGGCTTGATGCAGCAGCAGAGGTCCAGCCGCGACGCCTGGAGGGGGAGGTAGCCCCTCAAGGTGGCCCCAGAGCAGACCCCAGGGACTGCCTCCCCACCCCTGGGGAGTGCCACCTTCTGTGAGTGGCCTGTGCCCACCGTGCTCATGGGAAAATGCCAGTGTGATGTTTGCTTTTATTTTCTATCTTGATAAAATATCTTTGAATTTTACACCATCACAGAAGCCATAGCTCGACTCCTCGAGCAACTGGAGTTTGAACTGCACAGGTCCACTTATCCACAGATTTTCTTCCACCTCTGCCACCCTGAGAAAACAAAACCAACCCCTCCTCCCGCCTCCCCCGCCTGAAGATGGGAAGGATGGAGACCAGGTGATCCACTTCCACCTGGCGAACGGTAAATGTATTTTCTCTTCCTTATTTTCTTAATACATTTTCTTTTCTCTAGCTTACTTTTGTAAGAATATGGTATATAATACAGACAACACACAAAATATGTGTTAATCAACTGTCTGTCATTGTCAAGGCTTCTGGTCAACCGTAAGCTAGTAGTAGCTAAGTTTTAGAGGAGTCAAAAGTGACATGCAGATTTTTGACTGCTCACAGAGCCAGCACCCCAACTCTGCATTCTTCAAGGCTCAACCGTATTTTATTTGTCAACCTCGTGTACTTTAGGAGGTTTGATCATATTGCCAAAAATTGCCAAAATGAAATTATTTTTCTGTAGGAAATTGGGGAATACATGGCCCCAAATATTTCACTCCCAGTACAGTGCCCCTCCCCTCCCCCACTCTCTGAGCCATCTCTGTGGCACTGAGACCACCCTATCTCCCTGCCAAGGTGGAGACCCAGGGGCAGGTCCCTTGGTCCTGGCCAGCTGCCCCTACCTCCTGCCTCTTGCTATCCAGGGAGAGCAAGGCCACGAAGGCAGACATCTGCAGCAGGAAGTCAAAGAGCACAGCAAGGCCGGAGGTCAGGGCAAAGGTCCGCACAGCTGGCATGGGGGTCAGGGCCCCTGTTGGGGGGCAGAAGGCTGTCAGGGCACTCTGGTTTCAGGGGCAGGGTGGAAGCCTACACAGACAGGGTGCAGAGGGAAGGGAGTTTGTCCTGTGCCCACTGCCCTCTGAGAACTTCTGGGCCCTGCACTAACCCAACAGGCCCAGCACCTGGGTGGGGAAGGTCTGCCCCGGGCTTACCTAGGAAGAAACAGATGGCCTCAGAGAGGCTGCACAGCAGCATGCTGGGGGCCACCCTGCCCAGGGCTCGGCCAATGTGGACCTCCCGCTCCTCCCCAGGCCTCCGAGGCAGCCTCTGTGTGGGAATAGCAGGGATACAGTCCAGAGCCCACCAAGGACGCCGTCCGGTGACAGCCAACAGAGAGCTGGCAGGTGCCCAGAGACTCAGCCAGGCCTGAGGAATTGCTCTGTCCTTCCTGAGTTGTGAACAGACTCTAACACTCTCCACAGCCACACTTTCTGCTCCCAGGATCTGGCTTGGATAAATGCTCAGTTCATTCGTTCATTTGGGATGTCTATATCATCCCTATTCCACACATCACTGGAACCCTAAATATTCACAGGAGAAGGCTAAATTGATTGTAATTTGGACTTATTTTGGAATGCTAAATGTACTAACATGGAAAGCTTTTACCAGTTGTTGCATGGGGTTAAATTCCAGACGACACAGACAGAATGAACTCATTTATGTCAACACATTCTACTTTTTTTTTTTTAAATAGAGACAGGGTCTCACTATTTTATCTAGGCTGGGCTCAAACTCAAAATCCTCCTGTCTCAACCTCCTGAGCAGCTGTGATTACAAGCATGTGCCACTGCACCTGGTTAACACACTCCATTTTCAGGCGTTATACTACAGGTATTATAAAGGTGTCAATGCATAGAAAGAGTCTAGAAGAAGATCTAGCAAATTGACGTTGGAGTTCTGTCTAGCCAGGAGTTGGGGTTAGGAGTAAAGGGTGTGGAGAACTGGGGGGGTGTGGAGAACTCCTCCCTTCTTACCTGGTACTCGAGAACAAAGATGAAGATGTTGTCAGCCCCCACAGCCAGCACCAGGAAAGGCACTACTTGGAGGATGACCAGGGAGGAGCGGACGCCCAGGTAGGAGAAGAAGCCCATGGCAGCCATGACCGATCCCAGCACCACGGCCACCCCGCCCAGGCCCAGCGTGGCCTTGGAGTCCACCTGCAATGCAACTAATCTCAGCCCGTGGCCACCAGGGCACCTGCTCAATATGTCCCCCAAATGTGGGCTGAGGGAGGAAGTGGGCAGCAGGCAGGTACCCTGGGTGCCCACAGGTGCTTGGTACTGCTCCCAGAAGCAAGTTCAAGTCTCAGGAAGCCCCTCCACAGAGCCAGCCTCCCAAGCGCAGGCCCAGGAACCCAAGGGCACAGGCAAGCCTGCTGCAAATTCCTCAGGCACGTGTGGCAAGAGATTTTAAATATTAGCTTTGCATTTGGATGGGTGGTAGTATGTCAGGTAATAGAAAGAAAACTGTTCCTGATCTTTCAACACAGAACACTTCCCAGAAACATCACCCTTTGGGGGAGCCACTTATGTGTGGGTCCACTTTGCTGCCTTGAGGTGTTCTGGTTAGGGAAGTTTAAGAAGGCCTGCTAGAGATGTCTGCGGCCCTGGGCCCGCCCAGCTCACCACGTCTGTCCCGCTTCTCACCAGCACTCGGCTGCAGCGGGAGTAGCTGCCCAGGGCCAGCGAGATGTACAGGAAGATGACAAAGTAGCTGAGGGCGAAGATGGGCAGGTCCTCGGCCGTGGTGCGGTTGATCTCATCCTCCAGAGAGCGCTGTGGACACACCCAACCAGCCTGCTGACCGCACCTGCTCCGGCCAGGCCGGCTGGCAAGAGCTCAGTCGCTGGGCACTGACCGTGGTTGGGCTCACATTGCCCCGTGGCCTGTTGTAAGCCCGGTGGGGCTTCAGGAACAGCTATGACAATCACCCCATTCTGAGCGGCAGTGCCCAGGGTCACTCAGGAAGGGCCAGGGCCAGAATGGGGTCACAGGAACCGACTCCAGACCACGTGGGCTGCACCCCCCAGGAACCCCACAGCCCCTACCTCGGCCATGAATGTGACCTGGAACTTTCCGGCTGTCCGACTCTGGAAGGCTCGCATCTCCTCCAAGAAGGCCTCCTCCCAGAGCTTGGCTTGGGCCAGACGGGGGTCCCCCGCCGGGTAATTGTTGAGGGAGAATGTCATGATCAGGGCCTCCGCCTCAGAGTAGTCCTTCCCTAGGGTAAGAAATGTTCAGCCTCCTCCAGCTGCACCCTTGCCTCCCTCTCCCATTCTAGCTGCATCCCTATCTCCCTCCCTTCTTCCGGACGCACCCCTGCACTCCTCCTTCCCTGCTCTTGCTCCTCGTCTTCTCCCTCATCCAAGTCATGGCCTTACCCCCTACACCCCACTTCTCTCAGCCACAGGCAAGACCTCTGGGCCCAGGCATGAAACCAGGGCACCTGGGCAGCCCTGGGGGAAGCTGACAGCGTGGCAGAGAGGAGACAGGATGGCATAGCTGCAGCTTCCATCACCCAGGCTGCCCCAGGCTGCAGGAACCCCATTGCCACTCCCACCCTCCTGCCTATTATTCTTACCCTAACACTGCACCTTCCTTGGCCTCCACTCACGGCGCGCTCAGCTTACCTTTGTACCCACCCACGGCAAGGAAAGGGAAGATCGGGGCCCCATAGTCAGCCATGCAGCTCAGGGCCAGGGTCGTGCCGTCTTTGAAGGTGAGGGGGGCGCTGCAAGGAGACAACCACAGAGGGAAGGGGTCTTTCCTGGCCCTGCCCAGTCCCTATGGCCCCTGCCCCCTCCCCCAGACTTGCCCCTGGCCCATAGAAGCATGGAAGGTGAACTGGGGGCACCAGCTGTGGATGGCCTGGCCCAGTGGGTCCTAAAGGGCTTCCTTGCAACAAGATCTTGTGCAGGCCCCAAGGCGGGGAGTGGGCCACAGCTGTCCCGACTGCTTCCCTTGTGGCAGGCAGGGGCTGCTCCTGGCGCCACCTAGCCCCACCCTCCAGACCCCGTCTCTGTCTGGTTCCCAGATGGAGAAGGCAGATGGAGCATCACCACCTAAGGTCCCGTAAGGGTAGGAAAGTGGGATTTGGGCTGCAGAGCCTGGCCTGGGCTGTCTCAAACGCTGCTCTCTCAGCTTCCTCCTCCCACCTGGGGCCCCAATTTGAGGTCAGATTTGGAGCCCTGGAGCCCAGGAGCCAATGTGCCCATAGTTTACCAGCCCAGTGCCCTCAGGCAAATCTGTATGCCCTTCAACTTAGCCCTTTCTGCAAAGCGCATAGTTGTGAAGACTCAGTGGGATACCCGGGCAAAGCTCTGTACGTGCCATTCTCGGCTCTGCCTGAGTGAGGGCATTAGTCACCACTATTCCTGGGAGTGCTGGCTGTTGTGTGACCTTGAGCAGCTCACCACACCCCTCTGAGCCTCCGTTTTCCTATCTGTGAATTGAGGGGGAATGGACCACTCAAGAGTTGTTGTGAGTACCCCAAACCAAAACAAAAATAATGCACGAGGACTGTATACCTGCACTCAGACAGAAGTCTGGGGTCAGACCACCAGCGCCTCCCTGGAGCAACCAACAGCTCCTCTCTGTCCTGCCATTTCTGAGGGACAGCCCCTGGCTTCATGGCACGGACACACCAAGAAGCAGCCCAAACTTGGGGCTCAGCTGAGCGGGGAGAGCCAGGTACTGGGAGGCAGAGAGCAATAGCTCCCTCATCTAATCAAGTGGTTTTCAAAGTGTGGCCTGGGGCCCTCAGGAGTCCTGGAGACCTTTTCAAGGGTCTGCAAGGTCAAAACTGTTTTTATCATATAGGGAAGACCATGTGATCACATAGAAGATGTCCATCTACCAGCCAATGATAAAGGCCTTAGAAGACACTAACTCTGTTGACACCTTGCTGTTAGACTTCTAGCCTCTAGAACTGTAGGAAAATAAATTTCCGCTGTTTAAAAAAAAGTTTTCATAATGACATTCAGATGCTATTTCCCTTTTTAACTCTCATTTGCTCTCAAGTGTAGAGTACGAAACGTTCACTCAGGACCTCTGCTAGACTTCAACCTCACACAGTCCCCCCTGCCTGCCCTCACTGCCCTCACACTCAGCCCTCAGCCAGTGACCTTGTTGGCATCTTGTCTGCACCATGCAATGGCCACGCACAAACCTGCTGCAGCAGATGGGAACTCTCAGCCTGGGGGAGTGGGAGAGGGGAAGGGGTGGAGATAATCGGGCACATGGCGGTCCCAGGACAGAGCTGTGTGCCCACGAGGCACCAGGAGGCCACAGCAGCGCCCTCCATGCTACTCCTGTGCCTGGGCCCCGCCAAGGACTCACTTGGTGCAGTAGAGAAAGTGGTCCTTCCAGTCGACCTGGGAGGTCTGCCCCATCAGCGTCTGGTTGGCCGTGAGCAGCAAGAGTGTGCGGTTGCTCTGGAAATACTGCAGGAGGCTGTTGATGCAGCAGTCAGAGAGACTGGCGTTGTGGGGGTTGAGGGGCGCGTAGCAGATGTCCTGCAGAGAGATGTTGCGCTGCGCCTCGGGCGACCACACCTGGAGGTGCCGCAGCCTCTCCTGCAGCTCCAGCAGCTCCAGCAGCAGGTCCAGCGCCAGGATCCCGCTGAAGTTCTTGGACCCCAGCAGCAGGGAGTCATACCTATAGCTGGACCGGTTAGGAGCCGTCAGGATCACCTGGTTGGTTCGGAAGAAGGGGCCAAAATGCTGGTCGTGGAAAGCCTTCTCTTTCCGTGCTTGGCTGTTGGGGGCCGACCACAGCTCCACAGGGTCGGTGGTGAGTTCCGTGTAGGCCAGGCCGCACGCCAAGCCTACCACCAACGTGGTGGACAACACCAGGATGGTCACCGGCCATGAGGCCACCCACGTGCCCCAGCCCTGGAAGAACTGGCCAAGCATGGTGTGGGTGGAGAGCCTGGGCTTGTCAGGGAGGCTGGTACCCTCCTTGGGACCCACAGTTTTGCCTTTGTCCTTGCTGGAAGCCACACGGCGGTACACGAGGAAGAGGGTGAGCAAGGCAAAGACGGAGCAGATGATGATGATAATGACGAGGGCGCCTGGCATCCGGCCCAGGCGGAAGGTGCGGTCCAGGGGCTGGGGGCGGGCTATGACAGGGCAGGATGCAGCACAGTCCTGGCAGGAGCAGGCCGTTGCGTCTTCCCCTTGGGACTCATTGCAGTGCAGGACTTCCTCATTCAGAGGCTGCATCCCGCTCCCCAGGGCCTGGCCAGGCTCCCAGAGGTGGAAGGTGATGTCCAGTGGGGCCAGGCCATTTCCTGTGTCTCCCTGGAAGTCGAGCCAGCGCTGAGCATTGCACAGGGCGGAGCCGTACACGCCACACATGCTGCCCACGGCTAGCGAGGCGGCCGCAGGGATGCGCACGCGGCTGCAGGAGTCGTAGGTCTGCTCTGCAAAGCTGCGCTGGTAGAAGGCCTCGTAGGCCACCACGGCTGGGGGCTGGCCAGCCCCTCGCTGGGCCACACGGGTCACATTGATGAAGAGGCTCTGGTTGGGGCTGCAGGTGTTGTGGCAGTGCAGGCTCACGAAATTGTTAGAGCAGGCCGGGCAGCGGGTGAGGAGGGCCTTGGTGAGGGACATGCTCGCCTCCAGCGACACCAGCTGCTTGGCGGAGCAGCAGGCCTGGGTGGTGTTGGGGCCGGTGTAGAGGCGGGGACAGATGCTCTGTAACAGGGCCAGGTGTTCGCCTGTGATGTTGCGGGCGGGGGTGTTGGACAGGCAGGACACGTTGGACAGTGACGTGAGGCCTCCAGACAGCTCTGGGTTCTTCCCACATTCGTCGTAGAAAGTGCAGTAGCCAGGCCGATGGATGGGTGTGTACAGCTCACTCTGGGCCTGCGGGGCACAGCAGCGTCATTCCTGGGCTCTGACACTGGGCAGCACAGCTGGCTGCTGGCTGCGGCAGCCAGGAAG